TGATACAAGTGGAACAAATACTATTTACATCTAGATAAAGTTACAGATTTTTAACAAAACTAAGCAAGTGAAAACATAAGACGTAACAACATTGATTTAACAAACCTAAGCAAGTAATAATATAAGACGTAACAACATTGAAGCTGTTAACAAAACTAAGCAAGTAATAATATAAAACGTAACAACATTGAAGCTGTTAACAAAACTAAGCAAGTAACAATATAAGACGTAACAACATTCAAGCTATTAACAAATCTAAGCAAGTAATAATATAAGACGTAACAACATTGAAGTTGTTAACGATAAATTATGTAATTACAAAGTAACGAGGTGTCACATGAATAATGCTGTTAAGTCCTACAAGTGGTCCTATTAACTTACATATGTTGGCTTCTTTGCTTGTTTTTCGAGCAAGCACGGCTTGAACGACAATGTAACAAAGCACCAAAGGACCCATCAAATGGTTGCTGGTGTAACCAGGCACAGACTGTAACATCTTGCTTCTTCTGTGGATTCTTGCGAACACCACTGTTAATGCTGAGAAAATGCCAACAAACAGAATTAAGCCAGCAAGGCGAAAGAACGGCAATGTTAAAAATGTGTTTAAAGCAAAAGGAAACATCTGACTGAAATACATTTTGTACTAAATACTGTATAAGATATGTAACAACGATAGAATGACTTGTGAATTATATAGAAAGTAAGATTAAACGATCTTATGCATATCTTACGCAATGATAGTGAAATTGCTAAAGGCTCTTCGTTTTTTTTCTTTGGGGGAAATTCAATTGGTTAAATGGCCCACCAATCAGATTGCTTCACGTTTTGTCCTTCAAGCAGACGAACCTTGCTATAGAAATATTTAACTTCATCTCACGACCAGAACTAGAGGAAACATCAATAGGTGCCACAAATTTAAAACATTTAATACTGAAACTATAACCGCCATTTAGACACACAAAAAAGGGGTTAATGTGTCACAAAACAAGTTTTCGTAACCGTTATTTTAAAAGAAAATGTATAACACAAATTTCTGAAAATAGACTGATCAGTTTTGCTCAGTGGCAAATCTTTTTCATTTCCATGTGTCCTCCAGTAGCACAGCGGAAATTGTTATAAAGCTTAAAGAATCGGGTTTCGATACCGATAGTGGGCACACGACAGATAGACAATTGTGTAGCTTTGCGCTTAACTACAAATAAACTTTTCTATGCTTTTTAAACCAAGATTTCTATCAAATAAGGAAGACTTCTTTACTTGCTTGTTGACACATCACAAAACTCGTCAAGATAATAAAATGTATTCCTTATTTGAACAAGAATAATTTCCATTAACAAAAAATATTACGACTCTTGCAAATGATACCTGCGTTCTCAAGGCTTCACTTTACCCAAGTTAGCTACGAAACGAAATTGCATAGCCTATATTCTCAAACCCAGTTTCACTAAAACCAAAGAATTTTAAGCATCCTAACCTACCTTAGTGAATGTTTCACCTGTTCTTAATAACTCTCTACTTTTATGCTTCAGAAAAATAATCTGTTCTATTAGTTGTCTTTTTACTGTTTGCATGCGTTCTATTTCCCCGTTAAACCCGCGTATACAAAAAAAGACCTCACTTACATATATATACTATTTAAATTCACCTCAACACTTACTGCCTGATAGTAATAACATCCAGCAGCTTCAATGTTGTTACGTCTTATGTTATCACTTGCTTATTTTTGTTAACAGCTTCAATGTTGTTACGTCTTATATTATTACTTGCTTAGTTTTGTTAACAGCTTCAATGTTGTTACGTCTTATATTATTACTTGCTTACAGAAACTTACGGGTGAGTATATATAGAGTACACAGAGAGTGACAGAAACTTACTAGTGAGTATATCTAGAGTACACAGAGAGAACAGTTTCGTGATATCCACATATTCTTCGCCTGTCTTCTGCTGAAGTTTTTCAACTAATATCCTGGACTCTTGATTGAAGATATCAATACTGCTCTCCAGGATCCGAAAGTGAAAGGCAGGCGTCAACATTTTTCTGCGTTGTCTCCATGCGCTGTTAGTGCTTTGATAAAGAATAAATAACGTTATAAAATTTAAAAAAAGAATATTTAGTTATCTATTTAAGTTTTCCTCTTGTGTTGTCGAGAAGCTGTAGAGGGTATTTATTTTGTTAGGAGATTCTATTAAGATTCAAAAATAGGGCTACATTGGTATTCACCTTTTTTTTTACTACTTTTGACAGTTAACTCTTCAACTAATCTTAAACTAATGTTAGAAGAAAAAACAACATGATAATTCAAAAGGTGCAACATTAGACATTTTAAGCTGCACTATGAAATAATAACAGAAAGATGTAATGTATATTTCAAGTATGATATTGTGGTTGATATAGAAACTCCATCCAGTCAATCAGATTCAAACATGATATTCTGATTGTTACAGAAATTCTAACCATTAAGTGTCGAATATGTTATCGTGATTGTTATAAAAATTCCAGCCAATCAACTTCCAACATGATATTCTGGTTGTTATAGTAAGTTCAGCTAATCAGTTGATCTAATACAATAATCAATATGAGCTTCTGATCAGAGCAAAATTAAACTTATAGCGAAACTAAAAATCAACCAGTATCGCTATTTAAATGTACTTTTCTTACTTATAAAGATTAGAATGACTTGTTTCATCAATTGGGTATCCTCGTTGTTAACTATACTTCCGGCCATAATCCCAATAATATCTCACGAGATTCGGCCAGCTTAGTGGATTTAGGTTAGTTCTAAATACATATATTAAGCTAACAATATAAAACATTATCTATAATAAAATAGAATGATAAAATCAGAGATATTAAACATTATAACCAGTACTGTTATTGAAGATAACACTAAAGACATAACAGAGTATACACACAAACACTAGCTGTTGGGTTCGAGTACTGTCGTAGAATTAATGTTTTTTTTAACAACGTAACATCAATACATAGCGTATGAACAAAGCTTTACATAATTCTCTCTAAAGATGGCTTGTGACCAATGAAACATCAAATTTAGAGGAGTGTGTAGTTTAGAATTTAGTTTTACCAGACAATCCAAAATAATCCGCCTTATGAAATAACACGCTGCAAAATTAGCAGAGAAAAGTTTACAAATCTGTTAACTTATCACTCCTTAATTTGATTTTTTTCTGTCGTTCCATAGCATAGAAAACATTTATAATTTTTTTACGTATTTGTAGATTTCACAGTAAATTCCTTAGTTTTTACTTTGAGCCAGAATTCGAGAAACTATCCACCGTTTGTCCAAAAATGAAATAAGTTTGGCTATCATTTTGTAACCTATTTTTGATAATTTTAAACTAAACCCTACGAAAAATGTATTTTAGTAACTTATTTTTGATAATTTTAAACTAAACCCTACAAACAATGTATTTTAGTAACTTATTTTTGATAGTTTTAGACTAAACCCTACGAACAATATATTTTAGTAACTTATTTTTGATAGTTTTAGACTAAACCCTACGACCTTAATATATTTTAGTAGCTTATTTTTGATAATTTTAGACTAAACCATACGACCTTAATATATTTTAGTAACTTATTTTTCATAGTTTGAAACTAAACCCTACGACCTTAATATATTTTAGTAACTTATTTTTCATAGTTTTAGACTAAACCCTACGACCTTAATATATTTTAGTAACTTATTTTTGATAATTTTAGACGAAACCCTACGACCTTAATATATTTTAGTAGCTTATTTAGGATAATTTTAAACTAAACTAGATTATGACATATTGACGATCGAGTTGTAACATACTTTTGATAATTCTAAACTAAATTACTGTTATTAACTGCGTTTTGTTATTTTAATTGACACACTTTTATTGTTTGCTAGAGGGAGTTTTGGTAAGATATAACAGTAAAGTACTGGCCTTAGATTTGACGTAAATTATGACATCTCGATTATTCTAGAGGCTTTGGGAAATATACTGCAACAATATAAAACATAGTTTTTGACAGGTCTACGCTCAAGTGTCCCCAGAGTGTTATAACGGTTGACACATCATTTGAAATTTAAGTGTAATAATACATTTTATTTTATTGTTTAACCTTGCTTAGTGGAAGCTGTAAGAGGAGAAAAAGTTAGCTCTGATTTACGTTAAAATTGTTTATTGATTATTTGTTTGAGAGCAAAGCCACATTGAGCTATCTGCTGTGTCCACCGCGGGGAATCGATTCCCGGGTTTTAGCGTCGGGGGACTCGTTAGAAATGCACGGACGTAGAGGGGGGGGGGTCCTTTTTTCCAAAAGAATGTAGACCTTTCCTCTTCACAAATAACTTAAGATTATTACAAATCATAAGGTAGTAAACTTTTTAGACTTTCTAGAAAATTGTGGTGGTCGTTTGACCCCCGGCAACCTTTGCCTATCTAAACCCATGAAATGTCCGAATAAGATTTTTTCGGGCTATGTCACATATGATGTCAATCAACCAGCCAAAAAGAAAACTTTGTATTTCACGATATATATATCTCTTACCTCATTAATATTCCTCTTTCTGACCAGTTGCTTAAAAAATAATAATGATGAGATCTGCGTAAGTTTTTGGTGTTCATTAGCAGATCCTGAAAGAAACAGTTAAAAGAAAAAATTTATTTTTTTAGACAATACAGTTATCTTAAATATCAGAAATATGCTAGTTAGGGTTCAGTCCTAACTCAGTTTTCTGAATAATTTAGGGTATTATTATAATAACAATTAATTAATTCTTGTGGTTTTTTAAGATCGATTTGAACAACCACTAAATACTAATGTAAGCAATGACATTTCAAACTCAAGTAGTCATAGACATTCGTTTTTTCTTGACCTGTAGAGGACTCTGTGATCAGTTTTTTTCATGCGCGTGAGTATTGAACTTATAAAGTCAGTTTCCTGAAAGTTATTTGGTTTATATGATTAATCAAACTGACCATATACATTTTGTTCATGTTTTGGTCATCGTGTGATACATTTCAAATCGTTCTTTTAACCTTAGAGCACGTTTAGTTTTGTTTGTTTTAGTGTAAAGCTATACAATTGACTATCGGCGCTCTGTCCACAGCATGGAATCGAACCCTAGATTTTAGCGTTGTAAGTTTGGGGACCTTAGGGTGCGTAGCTAATCCGTTCTTTTAGGTACTTAAGATTGCCTGGCAAAGAAAACTTACTTCTACAAACCCTGGTTTGTACGTGAGAACACACAATTAAAGTCCTAATAAAATAATACATGTTCAAGTCGGTAAAAATTAGTGTATTAATCTTACCTCTATCGATTCTGGGTCAGACAAGAGAACTAGATGCTGCCATCCCAACCAAATCTTGGATATTCCATTTGGGAATAAAAAAGTCAGTGCACACAGTGCTTGAAAAAACCCTGAAAATAAAAGAAGAAAGTTCAATAATGACCTTTGTTGAAATTGCCCTAATGATGGTGAATTGTGTACAGTCACTGAAAAGCTGGTCAATAAAACAAAACAGTCATCTGGTTTCAGTATGAATAATTGTTCTAGATTTTGTAATATGTATTGTAGGCGATGTTGAAAAAATAAATAAAGTATGCCAAAGTTCATAATGTACGCTGTCGTAGCTAGTTTATCAACAACTAGACAGAATTATAATTTAATAATTTAATTGACAGAGCATACTTTAGAATACACACAAATCGATGGTTAAATATAGAAATAACCAGAGGTTGAACGTTATTCTTGGGTTCCAAGAAATAGAAACGACGTTGTTCAAGTATTTTCATACAGTGATGTTTTTAGTTTGACTACAGTCACATCAACTAAAGGAACATTATAATACTGACTTCTCCTTAAAAAGGGGGCCCCATAGACTTCCTTACATCCGGTTTCTGAGATGTTAGTGCTGGACAAGAGACTGAAAAACTGTTGTAGGTCTGGCATCTATGGCCAAAGAAGTTCATACAGGATGTCATCCACCAGGTTGACAAACAAACGCCCTGATAGGAAGTCCAGCTACTGGCAGTCCGCATGTAATATCGTCAAAACCGATAGCCCACGAATTAAACACATACAGCTGTAAATTATACAGAGTTAGGTAAGGATGATATGATAATCATCTTTGTATAACTTGTGCGTCAAAACACACATACACACACGTGTATTTGTTCGTCAAAACACACATACACATCTGTTTTGTATAAAAGGGTGTGCTTTTGATATAATATGTTTCGAAGCGAATCAACGCTTTGTTCAGACGATTTCCCTGTACTTGGTGTAGAGTTGGCCACGCACCGGAAGTTATAGGAATTGTACGATTGTCTAGAAATGGTATGAAGCAAATGAACATTGCCAGAATAGTAGACTATCCCCAGTGTACTTTATCTAGAATCCTGAAACGTCATGGGACTACAAAAACGTTGTTACAAGAAAATCTACAGGTAGACGCCGAAAAACTACTACTCGAGATGACATGTTTTGATTTGGTTAACGCGTGAAGGTTGAAAGAAGTATTGCAACACCTTACGACAGGAATGGCATGAACACATTCATTCTAGGGTATCCAGAAGAACAGTGAATAGGAGACTGACCAAACAAGGTTATTTTGAAAAAAAAGGACTATTTGCAAACTGATATTTAAAAAAATTCACTGCCGTCATCCTGTTACTTGGGCAAGACAGCATGCCAACTTACAGTTAGGACACTGGCGACATGTCATCTTTTCAGATGAGTCCTGTTTCAGGCTTGTTAAAGCTGATGGTAGGATTCATGTTTGCCGTTTGCCTGGAGAAACGATGAGGGAATAAGACTGCTTTCACAGGAGGTGGTGCAGTACATGTTTGGGCAGCTAATCATTATGGTAGAAAAACTGCTCTTCATATCCTCAACGGAAATGTCAATGGTGCCTCCTACAGGCGTCACATGGAGACAATGTTTCTACCATATGCTAGAGCAAGGTTTGGCAATAACATTGTGTTCCAGGATGGAAATGCCACTGCCCACAGTGCGCGTATTATACAGGATTCTCTCAACCAGAAGGATATTACAAGATTGCCATGGCCAACAAAGTCTCCAGATTGTAATCCCACTGAGAACTATTGGACAGAACTGGACCTAAAAATTACCAACCACAACCCTAAACAAGATACTGTAGCTGAGTTGCAGCGCCTTATAGTGATAAGTTGGGATGTAATCACGGTGGATTACATCAATATCCTCATCGACAGCATGCCACATCATCTTGAGGAGATTAGTAGAGTACAAGGAGGTCCAGCTAAGTACTGAATGTTTAATATGAAATGGTATAAGGTTATAAACGATATTCATAAGAAGTTGATATTCTATTTTCTCAATATATATATGTGTGTGTTTTGGTAAGGTTTTGTTGTGATAGATGAAATGGTGAATTACATATTCTTATACAAGTGTCTGATAACGTTGTTTACTGTTCTAATAAATCGTTCATGATGCCCAAAGAACCTGTCTCATTATGCAAATTATATATGTAGATCTTTAATATAAAATGCATTTCTCAGTTTGACAGCACTAAGTGTGTTTGTATTCCATTTTAATAATGTTACAAAATATGCAAACATTTTGGCCAAGGCTGTATATTATTTTATCGAGTATTCAATCTACTATTTCAAACTGACATGAATTTACACCCCGTTTCAAGGATTTTATGAAAACCTTTCATGTATAATTATTTATGTAAACTAGTTTTTGTAATATGACCTATATACAGTCTTCAAGTTTCGAATAAAAACTTGCCAGTATAAACGAAACATAAAAATGTGGCCACTAAGATTATAAAGTAAACTAGTCCAGTGACCTGGATTGGAAAGAGCGAAATGTAATCCACCAATAGTATGCGACCAATCACAAAATTTAAAGTAAAAAAATCTCATAAACATTAATAACTCCAAGTTAGAAAAATCAACCCCCAAAGGACTGTTGAAAAGTGATAATAAGTAAAAGGTAACCAGTTGGAAATAATTCTGAAGAAAGACGATTGAAAGTCCCGAGAAGGACTGTTGAAGTTACTTAATATAGAATCACTAGAAGGACTGTTGAAGTTACTTAATATAGAATCACTAGAAGGACTGTTGAAGTTACTTAATATAGAATCACGAGAAGGACTGTTGAAGTTACTTAATATAGAATCACTAGAAGGACTGTTGAAGTTACTTAATATAGAATCACTAGAAGGACTGTTGAAGTTACTTAATATAGAATCACGAGAAGGACTGTTGAAGTTACTTAATATAGAATCACGAGTAAGGACTGTTGAAGTTACTTAATATAGAATCACTAGAAGGACTGTTGAAGTTACTTAATATAGAATCACTAGAAGGACTGTTGAAGTTACTTAATATAGAATCACGAGAAGGACTGTTGAAGCTAATTAATATAGAATCACGAGAAGGACTGTTGAAGTTAATTAATATAGAATCACTAGAAGGACTGTTGAAGTTAATTAATATAGAATCACTAGAAGGACTGTTGAAGTTACTTAATATAGAATCACGAGTAGGACTGTTGAAGTTACTTAATATAGAATCACGAGAAGGACTGTTGAAGTTACTTAATATAGAATCACGAGAAGGACTGTTGAAGTTACTTAATATAGAATCACGAGTAGGACTGTTGAAGTTACTTAATATAGAATCACTAGAAGGACTGTTGAAGTTACTTAATATAGAATCACGAGAAGGACTGTTGAAGCTAATTAAGATAAAATCACGAGAAGAACTGTTGAACTTAATTAACTACAGCAGTCCTTCTCTGGACACTATCTTAATTAAATCCTACAATCTTCAATTAAAAGTTATAATTCTAGAAAGGCCTGTTGGTATTGTTTATTGAATATAGATTGTTCAGGCCTAGCCCTGAGATAGATTGTTGAATGACATGGTGAAATTAATAGAGCTTCTTTTTTGGTAAGAACATTCTAGTTAAATAAACCGCTGATATAAAGTTTGAAATGAAACGTATTTGTCATCCATCATTTTTAAAATACAGTTATTTATTTCATTTTATCATCTCACTCCTAGTTTAAACACTGTTAGTATCGTTCGTGGTTTGTGTTTAGCTCCAGTATATTACTGAGTTTGCATCATCTTGCAGTCCAGGATTTTTCATCGCGTATTTCCTTGTGTTCCGCGTTATAAATAATTAATTTTATAGCAGCACCTCAAGCATACTTGCTTAATTTTCACTGACGCCATGAAGACCACAATATGTGTCACAAAACTCAGATTTCAATTTCCTTTAACTAACTACGTCACGAAGGACCTATAATATACACAGGTGGTTTCTGTATTTATTACAACACCCTATTAGGAAGCTTAAGAGTTATAGTAAGACTTATATCATGATTTACTTTACATAGAAACCCTTCGTAAGAGGTTAAATGAAAATATAATCTTTATGGAAGCTCTGCATAAAAAATTAAACAGACAAATATTCTATATGGAAGCTATGCATACAAGATTAAGCAGAAATACATTAAATATATAGTTTTCTTGCGTAGAAGATTAAACAGGGAGATATTCTACACAAAAATCAAGATTAAACAGGGGAGACATTGTATATGGAAACCAAGATTAAACAGGGAAATATTCTATATGGAAACCAAGATTAAACAGGGAGATATTCTACATAGAAACCAAGATTAAACAGGGAGATATTCTACATAGAAACCAAGATTAAACAGGGAAATATTTTACATAAAAACCAAGATTAAACAGGGAAATATTTTACATAAAAACCAAGATTAAACAGGGAAATATTTTACATAAAAACCAAGATTAAACAGGGAGATATTTTACATAAAAACCAAGATTAAACAGGGAAATATTCTACATAAAAACCAATATTAAACAGGGATATATTCTATATGGAAACCAAGATTAAACAGGATGATTTTTCTATACAGAATCCCTTTGTACAAATACATTCGCTATAGAAAACCCCGCGTACAGGTTAAACAGAAAATATTGTATCTGAAAGCTCTTCTACGAGAAGAACTTCTACCAGATCCTACAACAATACTTACAACAATGGATAATATCAATTATAAGTAAAGGGCAAGATACAAAACCTATTGTCACCACTCTGCTCTAGGTCATCGTTCCAGAGGTGTCTTCGGCCAACATTTCTACCACCGAAGCAGAATGTTCACACATAAAGATTAACGAAGCTATAGCTATTTAATAAATTAATATATATTGAATTATTCAAATTTAATCCTGTTAGTTATTATAAGTTACAGAAACACATACAAACTTACGTTTTATTTAGTATGTGACAAGTTCCACCAAAGAGATCCACAAAATATGTAACTGTGTAAGATAATAAAATCCCTATAACCCGAGCGTTTTCGAAAGGTGGACCTTTCTTTTTCTTTAGG